CTGCAGTGAGCCGAGATCGTGCCACTGCATTCCAGCCTGGGCAACAGAGACAGACTCCATCTCAAAAAAAAAAAAAAAAATTATGTAGCCGAGCACATGCACAGGCACTTTGAGCACTTTGGGAGGCCAAGGAGGGTGGATCACTTGAGGTCAAGAGTTTGAGACAGCCTGGCCAACATGGTGAAACCCCATCTCTACTAAAAAAAAGTACAAAAAATTACCTGGGAGTGGTGGGGCACGCCTGTAGACCCAGCTACTTGGGAAGCTGAGGCATAAGAATCACTTGAACCCAAGAGGCAGAGGTTGCAGTGATCCAAGATTGCGCCTCTGCAACATAGCAAAACCCTGTCTGGGCAACAGAGCAAGAATGTCTTTAAAAAAAAAAAAAAAAAAAAGGAAGAGAAGACACCCAGATAGTCTTGAAGCAGGCAGAGAAAAGCTCAGAAAACCACTACTACTCCTGCTGCCCTCCTCCCCTCACCTTGCCTAGTTCACAAGATGGGAGGAAAGAGAGAAAGAAGCAAAAGTAAGATAAATAGCCAGACAACCTTGGCAGCACCACCCGGCCCTAGGAGTTAAACAAAGTAATAATAATAACATCAACCCCTGGCCTAAACTACTTGTGTTATCTGTAAATTCCAGACACTGTATGAAAAAAGCATCGTAAAACTTTCTGTTCTGTTAGCTGATGCATGTAGGCCCCAGTCACATTTCCCACGCTTGCTCAATTTATCATGACCCTTTCATGTGGACCCCTTAAAGCTGTAAGCCTTTAAAAAGGCTAAATATTTCTTTTTCAGGGAGCTCGGCTCTTAAGACGCGAGTCTGCCGATGCTCCCGGCCGAATAAAAAACCTCTTCCTTCTTTAATCCAGTGTCTGAGGAGTTTTGTCTGCGGCTCGTCCAGCTACACTAAGAGAATGTTTCTCATTTATTCCAGGCATGAGGTCTCATGCATGTCTGACTCAAGCTAGACAAAGCTGAGGACCTAGAGGTGACTCAGTCTGGCTGGTAGGAGAGAGAGGTAGGGACAGCAGGTCTGAGACACAGGGAGGTGTAGGGATTTGGGGAGCCCAGGGGAGGAAGGAGCCAGGGAAAGGAACTCCTTACTGAGAGGGTCCCCTAAATAAGATCTTCTCACCCCTGGCACCCTTTCCTGTTGTTTTTGCAGAATTTCTAGACCATTTATCTGTCCTTTGAAGACACACCCTAGATGGGGTTTATAGGCTCAGCTGTGAGATGTTCTAAGAATTAGACTTGGCTTCACCCTTCTCAGCTGTAGGACCTTGGGCAGAAAACTTCTTCTGGGTTCCAATTTTCTTATCTGAAAAATGAGGTTGAAAACAGTTCAACAGCCTACCATAGTACAGGTTCTCAGTGGGAACTGCCCATCATTATTTTGTCACTATCCTTGACTTCCTACCTTTGCCACCTCTACCCACTTCCAGGCCCTGCTGAGTTAACCTGTTTTTTGTTTGTTTGTTTGTTTGTTTTTGAGATGGAGTCTTGCTCTGTCGCCCAGGCCAGTGTGCAGTGGTGCAATCTCAGCTCACTGCAACCTCTGCCTCCTGGGTTTGAGAGATTCTCCTGCCCCAGCCTCCCAAGTAGCTGGGATTACAGGTGCATGCCACCACACTCAGCTAATTTTTGTATTTTTAGTAGAGATGGGGTTTCGCCATGTTGGCCAGGCTGGTCTGGAACTCCTGACCCCAAGTAATCCACCCACCTCAGCCTACCAAAGTGCTGGGATTACAGAGGTGAGCCACCATGCCCAGCCAGGTTTAACCTATCTTAACCTGGCCACTTTTCCATCAGCACACCCTCTGCCCCATTCAATGGGCAGCAAAGCATAAATGCAAATTGCCCGGACTACAGGGCCAGGCTGAGGGATTCAAATCCTTGCTCTGCTACTTCCTGGCTGGGATGACCTTCCCCTCCAAACCTCATTTTCCTCCTCTGTACAAGGATGATAGTAGCGTCTCCTCTTAAAACATTGCTGGCCGGGCGCGATGGCTCAAGCCTGTAATCCCAGCACTTTGGGAGGCCGAGGCGGGTGGATCACGAGGTCAGGAGATCGAGACCATCCTGGCTAACACGGTGAAACCCCGTCTCTACTTAAAATCCCAGCACTTTGGGAGGCCGAGGCGGGTGGATCACGAGGTCAGGAGATCAAGACCATCCTGGCTAACATGGTGAAACCCCGTCTCTACTAAAAAAAAAAAATACAAAAAACTAGCCGGGCGTGGTGGCGGGCGCCTGTAGTCCCAGCTACTCGGAGGCTGAGGCAGGAGAATGGCGTAAACCCGGGAGGCGGAGCTTGCAGTGAGCCGAGATCGCGCCACTGCACTCCAGCCTGGGTGACACAGCGAGACTCCGTCTCAAAAAAAAAAAAAAAAAAAAAAAAAAAAAAAAAAAAAAAAAAACCTTGAGTAGTGGCATTTGGTATGCAAATCCCAGCTACTCGGGGAGGCTAAGAGCAAAAATGCACCTCGCTCAAGGCGGAGCTTGCAGTGAAGCTGAGAGATCAGCCCTGCACTCCAGCATGGGCGACAGAGCGAGACTCCGTCTCAAAAAAAAAAAAGAGCGAGACTCCGTCTCAAAAAAAAAAAAAAAAAAAAAAACATTGCTATGGGGATTAAATAAGTTAACCACATAAGGACAGCTTCCAGTGTATAATAAGTGCTAGCAATTAATACGGTAATTAATATATAACAATACCCTCACTGGTCTTCTGGCTTCTACTCTGCCTCCTTAAAATCATGGTTCTTGAAAATAGCTGTGGCCCTAGAGGCTGGGCACGGTGGCTCACACCTGTAATCCCAGCACTGTGGGAGGCCGAAGTGGGTGGATCACCTGAGGTCAGGAGTTTGAGACCAGATTGGCCTATGTGGTGAAACCCCATCTTTACTAAAAATACAAAAAAAATTAGCCGGGCATGGTGGTGGGTGCCTGTAATCCCAGCTACTCAGGAGGCTGAAGCAGGAGAATTACTTGAACCTGGGAGGTGGAGGTTGCAGTGAGCCAAGATCTTGCCACTGCACGCCAGCCTGGGTGACAGAGTGAGACTCCATCTAAAAAAAAAAAAAAAAAAAAAAAAAAGGCGGGCGCAGTGGCTCACGCCTCTAATCCCAGCACTTTGGGAGGCCGAGACAGGTGGGTCACGAGGTCAGGAGATCGACACTAGCCTGGCCAACATGGTGAAACCCTGTCTCTACTAAAAATACAAAAATTAGCTGGGTGTTGTGGTGAGCACCTGTAATCCCAGCTACTTGGGAGGCTGAGGCAGGAGAATCGCTTGAACCCAGGAGGCAGAGGTTGCAGTGAGCCAAGAATGCGCCACTGCACTCCAGTCTGGGGGGGACAGAGTGAGACTCCATCTCAAAATAAAAAAAAAGAGAGAGAACGAAGAGTCGCTTCAAACTAATATAATGTGTGGAGCTCATTTAGATCTTGAGTCAGGCAAATCAAGTGTAATAAAAAGATATTATGAGATATGATGTTTGACATTTAGCTTCAGAATCATTTGGGAAGAGTGGATGGGGGGTAAATGAAACAACACTGGTCATGAGTGAATAATTATTTTTAAAAAATTGTTTTAAAGATATGGGGTATCGCTCTGTTGCACAGGCTGGAGTGCAGTAACACAATCATAGCTTATTGCAAACTTGAACTCCTGGGTCAGTCCCACTCCCTATCCCGGTGAAATAGCTAGGACTACAGGCTGCCACTAAGCCGGGGTTTTTTTTTGTTGTTTTTTGTTTTTGTTTGTTTTGTTTTTTAAAGATGGGAAGGTGTTTCACTATGTTGCCCAGGCTAGGATTTTTGTTTGGGTTTTTGGTTTTTTTGTTTGTTTGGTTGGTTGGGTTTTTTTTTTTTTTTTGAGACAGAGTCTCACTCTGTTGCCCAGGCTGGAGTGCAGTGGCTTGATCTTGGCTCACTGCAACCTCTGCCTCCCAGGTTCAAGCCATTCTCCTACCTCAGCCTCCAGAGTAGCTGAGATTACAAGCGTGTGCCACCACGCCCGACTAATTTTTGTATTTTTAGTAGAGACGGGGTTTCACCATGTTGGCCAGGCTAGTCTTGAACTCCTGACCTCAAGTGATCCGTCCACCTCCACCTCCCAAAGTGTTGGGATTACAGGAGTGAGCCACCGCGCCTGGTCCCAGTCTAGTTTGGAACTCCTGGGCTCAAGTGATTCGCCTACCTCTGCCTCCCCGAGTGCTGGGATTACAGGCACGAGATAGGGAGCCTGGCCTAGGCACTCTCTATTCTAAACACTTTACATTGATTATCGTATTTAATCCTAACAACGCTCCATTTTATAGATGAGGAAACAGGCCTAGAAAGAGAGCTAGAAAGGGTCACACAGCTAGAAACTGGCACAGCCGGATTCCAAACCAGTTACCCAGGCAAATTGGCTCCAGTCCAAATAACCCCGCCAAACCCCCCGGGATCGCAGACTTTGCGGGTTATCGGACTGGAGACCCACCCGTGCAGGACTTTTATGGGCATTTCCTGGTCCTTCCTGCACCAGGCAGGAAGGTGCACCGCCACTGCTCGGGAAGAATGCCAAGTTGCATGCCACCCCAGGCCTAGCACCACGAGCATGGGCCAGGGCACCTCGGGACCACCCAGGCTTCTGAGGGGGAAGGTAGATGGGGACGTGGCTGAGAATCTTGAATCACCCAATAGCGAGGTGTGCCGAGGCGCTATGCAAATAACGTGCCTTTTATTGGGCACTGGCTGTCTCTGAGCCCGGAGTCCCGCCTCCGCCCTCTCTCGAAGAAATGGTCAGACTTTTTGCAAACGCCTTGAAGGGTGGAATTAGCAGCGAGCTCTTGAAACTGCCTCTGGAGATGGAACCCAGCGGAATTCTCGAAAAGAAGAGGGACATTAAAAAGAGGGGTGCATGTATCGATTTCCAAGCGCAGTTTGTCCATGTTAGTCTTGCACGTGCTTGACTCCAGTCAGCCACCGTAGGCCCCGCCACCGGCGGTGCACTTTCCGTCAATCCGGTAGCTTCGCGCCTGCTCACGAACTTGCCTGCCTGGCAGGCGCACCCAGCCCCTCCTTCCATTCCGTCTTCCGCCTCCGCAGCCTCTGCCAGCCGGCACTGCGCATGCTTTCTGACGCCCACTTTGGTCCAGCGTGGGAGGAGGGGATGGAAATGAGGTTGGGCCGAGCAGCTCGCGCGCGCTCCCTTCCCTGCCCTCCCCCGACGCCTGACGCGCGCCGGGCGGTGCAGCTTCGCTGGTCCGAGGGCAGTGCAGCAGCAGCGGCAGCGGCTGCGGCCGTGGCCGCGGCGGGAGGAGCCCGAAGCCCCGCCCCCGGGGAGGGGCCGTCCTGCAGGTGAGGGGGCAGGGGTTCGGGCGCGGATACTGGCTTGCAGGCTGAATGCCAGAATCACCCCGAGGGAGAACGGTTGTGGTCCGAACGCCTAGATTCTGGAGGGGCTGTGCATTGGTGCCTGAGCCTCGGGAGGGTGCATCGATGCTTGAATGTCTGATTCGGAAGGGTGCATTGACTCCTTTACGCTTGGGACTCTGAGGGAGAAGTCAATTAGGGGTCTCTGGACCGCGACACATGCCAGGTTCCTTACGTATCTTCCTCCAGGTCCCCCCTCTATCCTCCACGGCCCCATCCAAGCCAGGGATGAAATTTAACGGCAAGAAGGACGCAGTTGACGCGGCGTCAATGAACTAAGTCAAAAGCCGGGTAAAGCTAGGTCTTCGACGTGAAGCCCCGCCCACTGTGCTCATAGGCCCCTCCCCTGGGACGGTGATGAAAGACCTGCCCACTCCTCTCGAAGGCCCCCGCCTCCTGGGTCTAGTTTCAGAACAAGACTTTGGTCCTATTTGTACAGCTCCGCCCATTCCAGGTCTGCAGGGTCTGGTGGGGAAGGTCCCGCCCACTCTGCGCATAGGCTCCGCCCGCTCCGCGCTCAGAACCGTCGCTGAGTTGTGGAGACCCCGCCCACTCTGCTCAAACACTCCAACCCTGGGTTTAGACAGCGAAGGGACTGCCTCTGGCTTGAATTTGCGTAGCCCCGCTCACTGTGCTCTTAGGCTCCGCCCCCCCGCTAAGCCCGCCCTCGCCTTAGCATCCCGTACTTACAGACCTTGCTCCTAAACAGTCTGATCCCTCATTTTAGGCCCTCCAACCCTATGCCCATCAGGCTGGTAATCACCGCCGTCACCCCCCACCCCGCGCCCTGCCCCTAGGTTCCTGTGCCAGCAAGATGCTGGAGCGAGGCGCGGAGTCCGCGGCCGGGGCCACCGATCCTAGTCCCACTGGCAAGGAACCGGTAACCAAAGGTGAGAGTGGCCCCGCCTATGAGTAGGGAGCATTCTCCAGGAATAGGGGCCAAGATAATCACATTCTGGGGGAATCTCAGGGTGAAAGTTTGAGGGCCCCAGGGTGATGACTATCTGGGATCCCCAAAAATGGCCACGTTCTGGGAAATCCTCCCATTTGGCTCAGAGAGAGCCTCAGTAACCATTTGCTAGGGCTCAGGAAATTACAGAAGGGACGGGGCAGGGATGACATGCGGGATGTCAGGGTGATCACTGGGAAGACACTAGAAACGGATATGTTGGTAGCTTTGAGGAAGCCTTAGGAGCTTTGGGATCCAGGAAAGTAACCCTTTGGAGTCCCTCAGAATGACGCCTGGGGGGAGGGGGAGCAGAAACATGCAATTTGGGGAGTCTCAATATGATACTTGAGGTGCCCAGGTACACTTGGAGGAGCCCCTCGAATATCAAAGTTGTGGCGGAGTCTGGCCTAGGCCCAGGGCGTTGGCTGCTTCCTGGAGCCCACCAGCCCTCCTGTCCCCCAGCTCCCCACCAGGGCCCACTGCAGAAGCCCAGCCAGTCAGCTCCAGGGCCCACCGCGTCCGCGAGCGCGCCTCCCAGGCCTCGCCGGCGGCCCCCGCCCCAGCGCCCGCACCGCTGTCCCGACTGTGACAAGGCCTTCTCGTACCCATCCAAGCTGGCCACGCACCGCTTAGCACACGGCGGCGCCCGACCCCACCCATGCCCAGACTGCCCCAAGGCCTTCTCCTACCCCTCCAAGCTGGCAGCCCACCGCCTCACGCACAGCGGCGCCCGCCCGCACCCGTGCCCACACTGCCCGAAGGCCTTTGGCCACCGCTCCAAGCTGGCGGCTCACCTCTGGACCCACGCACCCACCCGCCCCTACCCGTGCCCCGACTGCCCCAAGTCCTTCTGCTACCCTTCCAAGCTGGCGGCCCACCGCCACACGCACCACGCCACCGATGCCCGCCCCTATCCTTGCCCGCATTGCCCCAAGGCTTTCTCATTTCCCTCCAAGCTGGCTGCCCATCGCCTATGTCACGACCCCCCAACCGCACCCGGCAGCCAGGCGACGGCCCGGCATCGATGCTCCAGCTGCGGCCAGGCCTTTGGCCAGAGACGCTTACTGCTCCTTCATCAACGCAGCCACCACCAGGTGGAGCACAAAGGGGAGAGAGACTGAGCCCTCCCTTGGCTCACTGTCCCCCTCTGCCGCCAGCCCTCGCCAGTAAGAGGTGGGATTTCTAAAACCGACCGTATGAGCTCCCTCTTCCAGATAGCTGGCAGAAGGCAAGGCAAGGGATTGGCCATTTATACTGGGCTCGAACTCAGAAGCCCGAGGAACTCTTTGCTCCCCTGCTTTGGGGAGATCTCAAACCATGGACGTGGAGCTGTGCTTTGACAGCCCTGGCTCTGCTTCTCCCCACACACTTACATGGCAAAGGTAAAAAGTCTGCTACTATCGTGGGTTGATGAGGATTGTGGGCAAACAGGCTCTCTTGTTGTTAAAAGTTTAAATTGTTGTCTCCACTTTGGCCATATGACTGTATCTAAGAAACTGAAAATACATGCTTGTCTCAACTCTTCCACTTGTGGAAATTTATTCTATAAACTCATGTATGTGAAAAAAGCATAGTGTATAAGGGTGTTCACTGCAGTGCGACTGTTGTGGCCAAAGACTGGAAGCAACTCAAGTGCCCAAGAACAGAGGACCGACTATTGAATTATAGCCATGGAATGGAATAGGTAGCTGTAGGAAAAAAAAAAAAGTGCTGTATGTACGGATGTGGAAAGATCTCCAAGATACACTCGGTGATAAAAGGGGTATACACTGACCATTTAAAGACTTGTTCAGGCGATGGCGGTGGCTCAGCCTGTAATCCCAGCACTTTGGGAGGCCGAGATGGCGGATCACGAGGTCAGGAGATCGAGACCATCCTGGCTAACACGGTGAAACCGTCTCTACTAAAAAAATACAAAAAAAAAAAAAAAAACAAAGCCAGGCGGTGGCGGGCGCCTATAGTCCCAGCTACTCGGGAGGCGAGAACAGGAGAATAAGTGAACCCGGGAGCGAAGCTTGCAGTAAGCTGAGATCAGCCCACTGCACTCCCAGCCTGGGCGACAGAGCGAGACTCGATCAAAAAAAAAAAAAAAAAAAAAAAAAAAAAAGACAATTCCCAAGCCCAAGCTTCAGGTTTGGTGTGGTGGCTCACGCCTATAATCCCAGCACTTTAAAAAAAAGACATTCAAAAGCCCAAGCTTCAGGTTTGGTGTGGTGGCTCACGCCTATAATCCCAGCACTTTGAGTGGCCAAGGCGGAAGGATAGCTTGAACCAGAAGTCCAAGAGCAGTCTGGACAAAATAGCAAGACCCCATCTCTACCAAAAAAAACAAAAGCTGGGTGTGGTGGCATGTACCTGTAGTCCCAGCTACTTGGGAAGCTGAGGTGGGTGGATCACTTGAGCTGGCAGGTCAAGGCTGCCGTGAGCTGTGATCGTGCCACTGCCTTCCAGTCTGGATGACAGAGCAAGTCCCATCTCAAAAAGAAAAAGAAAAAAATCCCAAGATTCAGAGCCATCCCTGACCCACTTCTTACAAGTTGCCAGGCCTTGGACAAGCTTTCTCACTCCTCTGGACTCAGATGCCTTTGCTGTAAAATGGGTGGGTTATAAGGCATTTGTAAGGGGAAAGCAACACCTCAGGCAAAGTCAGTTCCCCTCTTAGAGCCTGTTTCTCCCATTGTAAAATAAAGATGAGCAAGCTGGCATGGGACTACTCTTCATTCCACAAATATTAAGCACCTCCTGTGTGCTGGGCCCTGCATGGGGTGCTGGGGACACAGCAATGAAGACAGACCTTGTCTAGTGAGGAAAGTGGACACTAATTTTAAAAAGCAGTAGCAGCAGGCCACGCAGAGTGGCTCAGACCTGTAATCCCAGCACTTTGGGAGGCCAAGGCAGGCGGATCACTTGAAGTCAGGAGTTCGAAACCAGCTTGGCCAGCATGATGAAACTCCGTCTCTACTAAAAATATAAATACTAGCTGGGTGTGGTGGCGTGCACCTGTAATCCCAGCTACTTGGGGAGGCTGAGGTACAAGAATCGCTTGAACCCGGGAGGCAGAGGTTGCAGTGAGCCAAGGTTGCACCACTGCACTCCAGCCTGGGCGACAGAGACCCTGCCTCAAACAAACAAACAAACAAACAAACCAAAAAAACCAGCAGCAGCCAAGTCATTCATTCATCTATGTATGTATGTATGTATATAGAGATAGGGTCTATGTTGCCTAGGGTAGTCTGAACTTCTGGACTCAAGCAGTCCTCCCACTTTGGCCTCCCAAAGTGCTAGGATTACATGCGTGAGCCACCATGCCTGGCCCCAAGTCCATTTAGAAGAACAAGTAGGAGAGCCTTGGCTCCCCACCCCCTCAACCCAGATACAAAAATTATTACAAAGCTGTGCAGTAATGAAATTGGTGGTGTTGGCTTGAAAACAGGTCAGTGGAAGACAACTGAGAGCTCAGAAACAGACCTGTGCTTATGCTGACATATGACAAACTGGACCTGTAGATCTGGGAGTGGCAACCTTTTCTATAAAGGGCCAAAGAGTACGGACGGTACCTGACTTACAATGGTTTGAATCAGGACTTTCCAACTTTATGATGGGTTCATCTGGATGTAGCACCATTGGAAGTCAAGGAGCATCTTTTTTTTTTTTTTTTTTTTTTGAGACAGGGTCTTGCTCTGTTGCCCAGGCTGGAGTGCAGTGGCACGATCACAGCTCATTGCCCTGAACTCCTGGGCACAAGTGATCCTCCTACCTCAGCCTCAGAAGTAGCTGGGACTACAGGCACACACCACCACACCTGGCTTATTTATTTTTATTTTTGAGACAGAGTCTTGCTCTGTTGCCCAGACTGGAGTGCAGTGGCATGATCGCCACTCATTGCAACCTCTGCCTTCCGGGCTCAAGCAATTCTCCTACCTCAGCCTCCTGAGAAGCTGGGATTTCAGGTGTGCGCCACCATGCCCAGTTAATTTTTGTATTTCTAGTAGAGATGGGGTTTCGCCATGTTGTTCAGGCTGGTCTTGAACTCCTGACCTCAAGTGGTCCGCCTGCCTTGGCCTCCCAAAGTGCTGGGATTACAGACGTGAGCCACTGCACCCAGGCCCCAGCTAAATTTTTTTTTAGTTTTTTTGTAGAGATGGGGGTCTCACTATGTTGCCCAGGCTGGCCTCAATCTCCTAGCCTCAAGTGATCCTCCTGTCTTGGCCTCCCAATGTCCTGGGATTCCAGGTGTGAGCCACTGATCCCAGCTGCATCTGTTACATTTTTAAGTTCTGCAGGCCATACAGTGTCTTCCACAACTATTCCACTCTGCCACTGTAGCAGGAAAGCAGCCACACACATTACAATACATAAATGAATGAACATGGCTGTGTTCCAATAAACATTTACCAAAATTCTAAGTAGGCTGGATTTTGCCTATGGGCTGTAGTTTGTTGTGACCTGACATGGATGAGTGGAGGATGGACAGACTAATCAGTAAATAAGGCTAAGAGACATGGGGAAAAATTAAGTTGAATCCCCTGTTGTATAGAAGAATGATCCCCCAAAGATATCCACATTTGAATCCCCAGAACCTGTATGTTAGCTGGCATGTAGCAAAAGGGACACTGCAGATGTGATTGAGATGGGTAAGTTATCCTGATTATTCAGATAGGCCCAATATAATCACAAGGGTCCTTATATGGGAAAGAGGGAAGCAGGAGACAGAGAGAGGTGATCATAAAAGCAAATATTCGAGTGATGGAAGACCCCAAGTCAAGGAATTTTGCCTACAAAAGGCAAGGAAATAAATTCCTCCTTAGAGCCTCCAGAAGGATTGCAACCCTGCTGACACTTGATTTTAGGCCAGTGAGGCTGATTTTGGACCACTGACCTCCAGAACTATAATAAAATTAACTTGTGTAGTCTAACGCCACTAAGTTTATGGCAATTTGTTACAGCAACAATGGGAAACTACTGCAGATCCCTACCTCACACCATATGCAAAAATATGTTTCTGGGAGTTTAAGATCTAAATTTGAAGAGAAAAACTCAAAAACATTTACATGGAAATAAGAATTATCTTAGTAACTCCAGAAGTAGAGACAATATCCTTAAGAGACAAAAGAGTATAAATCATAGATGAAAAGATGGGTAGGCCGGGCGTGGTCGCTCACGCCTGTAATCCCCCAGCACTTTGGGAGGCCGAGACGGGCAGATCACGAGGTCAGGAGATCGAGACCATCCTGGCTAACACAGTGAAACCCTGTCTCTACTAAAAAAATACAAAAAAAAAAAATTAGCCGGGCGTGGTGGCAGGCGCCTGTAGTCCCAGCTACTTGGGAGGCTGCGGCAGGAGAATGGCATGAACCCGAGGCGGAGCTTGCAGTGAGCCGAGATTGCACCACTGAACTCCAGCCTGGGCGACAAAGCAAGACTCCATCTCAAAAAAAAAAAAAAGGAAGAAAAAAAGTAAAAAGAAAAGATAGGTAAATGTGACCATAAATGAATGTAAAGTTATGACTAGGATGGATGAGATGTAGTATTTTAAGAGTGTGTACCTGGCATATCCTATTATATAGTGGAGGTTAGGAAAGGCCTTGTTGAGGATGTAATGTTTGAGCTGAGATCTGAAAGTTGTGGAGGAAGGAGAAAGTAGAAAGTGTCCATAGACTAGATAAAGAACATGTGGTACATATACACCAGGTAATACTATGCAGTCATAAAATGGAATGAGATCACATCCTTTGCAGGGACATGGAAGGAGCTGGAAGCCATTATCCTTAGCAAACTAACGCAGGAACAGAAAACCAAATACTGCATGTTCTCACTTATAAGTGGGAGCGGAATGATGAGAACACATGGACACAGCTGGGCATGGTGCCTCACGCCTCTAATCCCAGCACTTTGGGAGGTGGAGGCGGGCAAATCACCTGAGGTCAGGAGTTCAAAACCAGCCTGGCCAACATGGCAAAACCCCCTCTCTACTAAAAATATGAAAATTAGCCGGGCATGGTGGCAAACGCCTGTAATCCCAGCTACTCGGGAGGCTGAGGCACGAGAATCCCTCGAACCCAAGAGGCAGAGGTTGCAGTGAGCCAAGATCATGCCACTGCACTCCAGCCTAGGTGACAGAGTGAGACTCCATCTCAAAAAAAAAAAAAACACATGGGGGGAACAACACACACTGGGGCCTGTCAGGGGGTGGGGGTGGACAGCTGTTTGAGCTGAGATCTGGTGCCGTGGGAGGAAGGAGAAAGTAGAAAAGTGTCCATAGACTAGATAAAGAACATGTGGTACATATACACCAGGTAAATGGCTGCAGGTAGTCATAAAATGGAATGAGATCACATCCTTTTGCAGGGCTAAGGGAAGGAGCTGGAAGCTTGGTTATTCCATAGTGGCCCAACAGGAACAGAAAAACCAACACTGCATGTTCTCACTTATAAGTGGGAGTTAATAAGGAATACCAATGACAGTGGTATGGAAACAACCAAATTGGAGGGAGGCAAACTGCAATGAGGCTGAGTTGCAAACACAGCTCACACAAATAATACGGCAAAAACCCTCAACACTTAAAAATACAGAGAAAACATCAGCTGGGTATGGGGCCCGCCTACAAACCGTGAGCTACTGGAGGCTGGGAGGCAATGCAGAACCCTGAACTCATAAGAGGTGAGGCTGGGAGGAGCCAGCGGCAAGATCGCACTGCACTCCTGAGCCTAGTGAAGGTATGGAGAATTTATCTCAAAAAAACATCATGGGGGGAACAACACACACTGGGGCCTGTCAGGGGGTGGGGGTGGGGGGCTAGGAAGAGCATCAGGAAGTATAGCTAATGGATGCTGGGCTTAATACCCAGGTGATGGGATGATCTGTGCAGCAAACCACCACGGCATACATTTACCTATGAAACAAAACTGCACATCCCGCACATGTACCTCTGAACTTAAAATAAAACTACGAGAGCCAGGCACGATGGCCACGCCTGTAATCCCAGCACTTTGGAAGGCCGAGGCAGGTGGATCACCTGAGGTCGGGAGTTCAAGACCAGCCTGATCAACATGGAGAAACCCTATCTCTACTAAAAATACAAAATTAGCCGGGGTGGTGGCGCATGACTGTAATCCCAGCTACTTGGGAGGCTGAGGCAGGAGAATTGCTTGAACCTGGGAGCCGGAGGTTGTGGTGAGCCAAGATTGCACCACTGCACTCCAGCCTGGGCAAAAAAAGTGAAACTCTGTATCAAAAAAAATAAATAAAAATAAAAAATAAAAATAAATAAAAAATAAAAGTAGGAGAAAACAAAGTGTCCAGCATAAGGGCTAGGACTGAGCAGGTTGCTGTACTGTACTCTACTCAGGCCTTTCAGAGAAGGTTCTGGGAGGGGTAAGGGGTCTACTCTGTCCTCCCAACCCAGCAGTGCTGCTTGTATCCACGTTTATACAGAGAGCTGTCCTGTATATGTGAGCTGGAGAGTTTCTCCAAAGCAACCACACCAGCAGCAAAGTTTCAAAGACACATACTCATTTGAGAGGCCATTGATCTGATCCAACCTTACTTTCACAGATGGGGGAAATGAGGCCAGGAAAGATGAGATTTATTGGCAACCAAACCACAGGGCAGTGCCTGAGTCTAGGTGGATCCTGGGTCTCTTGATAGCCTGACACCCACCCAGCTGTTCCTTGAACACATAATGCGTGCTCCTGCCTCAGGGCCTTTGAACTTGCTTTTCTGCTGCCTGGAAGGGCTCTCTCAGATACTCCTTACTTCTCCCAGGTCCCTGTAAGTCCTTCGAGAGGCCATCCCCAATCACCCTATCTAAACTACCAAGACCTTACCATTGCTGTCACTCACGATGCTATGTTTTCCTTGCTCTCACAGCATTTCCCACTGTCCAAGGCTGCATTGCACATGCACCATCTCTGTCCCCCTGTACAATGTCAGGCCAATGAGACTGAGGACTACTGTCTGTTTTTTTCATACTGTCTTCCCAGTGTCTCCCACATGGTGGCTGTGGTAGACAGAGTAATAGCCTCCCAAAGATGTTCACATCCTGGCTGGGCACAGTGGCTCATGCCTGTAATACAGCACTTTGGATGGCTGAGGCAGGTGGATCACCTGAAGTCAGGAGTTCGAGACCTGCCTGGTCAACATGGTGAAACCTCGTCTCTACTAAAAATACAAAAATTAGCTGGGCATGGTGGCAGGTGCCTGGAATCCCAGCTACTCGGGAAGCTAAAGCAGAGAACTGCTTGAACTCAGGAAGCGGAGGCTGCAGTGAGCTGAGAATGTGCCACTGTACTCCAGCCTGGGCAACAGAGAGAGACTCCGTCTCAAAAACAAAAAACAGGGAGATTATCCCAAATGATCCAGGCAGGCTTAATGTAATCACAAAGATCTCTTTTTGCCCAGGCTTAAGTGCAATAACATGATCTCGGCAGACTGCAACCTCTGCCTCCCAGGTTCAAGCGATTCTCCTGCCTCAGCCTCCCAAGAAGCTGGGATTACAGGCATGTGCCACCACACCTGACTCATTTTGTTTTTTTAGTAGAGATGGGGTTTCTCCATGTTGGTCAGGCTGGTCTCAAACTCCCAACCTTGGGTGATCCGCCTGCCTCGGCCTCCCAAAGTGCTGGGATTACAGGCGTGAGCTACTGCACCTGGTCTACAATCACAAAGATCTTTACATGTGGAAATACGGAACAGAAGAGTCAAGGTCAGGGTGATGGGATATGAGAAGGACTCAATAGGCCATTGCAGGCCTGGAATATAGAAGGGGAATGGAATGTGGGTGGCTTCTAGAAGCTGGAAAAGACAAGAAAGCAGATTCTCCCCTCAAACCTCCAGAAGGAACGCAGCCCTGCCTACCTTGATTTTTAGCTCAAGGATACCCATTTTGCACTTCAGACCTCCAAACCTGTAAGATCATAAATTCCTATTGTTTTAAGCCACTGAGTTTGTGATAATTTGTTACAGCAGTAGTACAAAACTAACATGGTGAGTTATCGGTAGGAGTGTGAATGAGCAAATGAATGAGTGAACGTGAAGTCTAAAGCCACGCTTAGCTGGGCGCGGTGGCTCAACACCTGTAATCCCAGCACTTTAGGAGGCCAAGGCGGGAAGATTGCTTGAGGCCAGGAGTTTGAGGCCAGCCTGGGCAACATAGTGAGAGTCCATCTCTACAAAAAAGAGAAAATTTCTCAGGTGTGGTGGTACATCCCTGTAGTCCCACCTACTCAGGAGGCGGAAGCAGGAAGATCGCTTGGGCCCAGGAGATCGAGGCTGAGTAAGCAGTGATTGCACCACTGCACTTCAGCCTGGGCAACAGAGCAAGACTCTGTCTCTAATAATAATATAAAACCATCCTCATCAGAAAGAGACAGGAGTGAGACTGGTAACCCTTGGTTGATGAGGCAAAAGTTGGGAAAGGGCTTGGAATGTCCAAGAAAAGGTTACCCAAAGGTCAGATCTCAAACCTACCTCTGACCCTGGCCTCTGTCCTGTTCAAACCCCCTCCTAACCTTTCCACCCTCAGATTAAAGTCCAGGCTTCTCAGCCTGGAGTTCACAGACCTTCAGGCCAGCCCTGTCCAAAAGACCTTTCTAGAGTGATGCAAATGTTCTCTGTGCTGCCCAATACAGTAGCCACTGAGCAACTGAAATGCATGGCCACTGTGACTACAGAAGTGAAGTTTACATTTCATTTCATTTTATTGTAATTAATTTAAATAGCTACCTGTACCCAGTGGTGATCACACTGGACAGCAGAGCTGCAAGGACTGTGCCTGGCTTTCTAAATCTGCCCCCAAAGCCTCTTCACCAAAGGCAGCAATGTTCTTCTGCCTGCCTCAGGCTGCTTCCCACCTCCTGACCCATGCTGTGGCCTCTGCCTAGAGCACCAGCCCATCCTCTGTCCTGATTCCCTCACAATCAGCTCAATTCCCACTTAAACGTGGTGGAGCCTTGAAGGGGGTCCAGGGTTTGAGTGGGTTGCTTAAAATGTCCTCTCCTCCCATTCGACCTCCTAAATTAGGTGATGTAAAACCACGGTGGTGACATTCATTATACAGCTACTTCCGAAAACCCTGGAGGAAAGGCACTATCCCTGGCCTGGGGATGCTGAGGCTTCAGGAGAGAGACGGGCCTCATGGGTACCGAGGCCTCCAGCCATGAAGGGACAGCCAAGACACAGGTGTGGCTCACAGGGCCAGAACAAGTTGAGGGGCAGTGCTGAGAGTCAGATTCCCAGTTCCCTGCCTCTTGCCAGCACAAGGATAAGGAGTCAAGCAGAAGAGACAAAGACTTCATTCTCTACTAGATCTCTGATGGAGGTGCCCAGCATTCTTCCCCAGGTCCCAGGGAGCCTCTTAGCGTTTTGGGAGACTCCTGGGTGAGAATAGGCAGCTGCTCCAAACCAACTCATCTTTATTAAATGCATCGTGTGTGTGTGTGTGTGTGTGTGTGTGTGTGTGTGTGTGTGTGTGTGT